AGAGAAGTTAGAGTTGAGAGTTGAGAGTTGAGAGTTGGGAGTGTCTCTGAGAGGGTTTAGAGAAAGGTTTGAGTGATTGAGTGCTCTTGTAAAACACCCTTTAATTTTCTTTTAGGCTGTGTTCGGCTACATGGAATTGGAGCCTTTGAATTGGAATTGGTAGAATTGGAGAAAATTTTAGTTCAATTTTGTGAGTTGCTTTTCTCCAATTCCAAAAATTCCAATTCCATAGCTCCAATTCCATGCAACTGAACACAAGCTTAGTGGACTTTGGTCTCCTCTCCTCCGTGGACATGGGCATATTGTCGAACCATGAAAATCTTGTTTTCTTTTGCTTGCCTGTGTTTTTCCTTTTAATTATTTACTCTGATTGCAAGATCCTCAAGGCTGTGTATGGATTCTTTTGGGCCTTAGTCCCGGTTCCACTTCTGTAATTGGGATGCGTTCCCCACTTGAACGCCTTTTTTAATGTTATTTTTACTTATCAAAAAAAAAAAAAAAAAGATCCTCAAGGCTGTGTCTAAACATAGCACAACAAAGTGGTATTAGAGCTTTGATTGTTGGTCTCAAATTTGTAGTTCTATATTGGGAGTAGGAAGTATGAGGTTGAGAAGTTCAACGGGAAGAACAACTTCTCGCTTTGGCAACAGAAAGATGAAGGAACTCAAATTGCACAAGGCCCTGCGAGGAAAAGTGAAGAAACCTAAGAAGAGGAGTGGGTGAGAAGGCTGCCAGCGCCAGTCAGTTCAATCTCTCAAATGAGGTCATATACAATGTGATTAATGAAGAAATGGTGGCAAAGATCCAGAAGAAACTCAAAAGCTGGTATATCGTGAAATCCTTGATAAACAAGCTATATTGTATGAAGCAACTATACGGGCTTCATATGGAAGAATATGAATTACCTAGAGCATCACAACGTCTTTGTAGATTTTGTCTTATGTTTGTTTTCTTTAGGGCATGTATTGTAATTTGTTTATCTCAATATATGGATATATATATGTAGGACAGGAGTAGAAACCGTACACCCATCATATCTTAATCTCTCTTCTTTCTCTTCTTCTTCTTTTCTTCTCTTCCCATATCTCTAATGCTTGAAACACATACACACAAATATCAACTTGGCATCAGAGATTGCAGATTGCAGTCCAAACCTCAGTATATCCATCAGGACTAGTTGACATCAGCAACCATATGCTGACACCAGTATTTGCAGATTGAGAACCACATGAACTGGCTCGCTTGAATCTTCTGAAAATTATGGTGATAGTTTTTTATTCCCCTGAAGTCGTTTGATTGGAGTATTTCATTTTTCATTTATTTTTATTATTTATTTATTATTATTATTTTGTTGAGTTTTGGCCCAGATTTTTTCGATCTATTTTTAAGGCAACTTTGGTTGTTTTTGTGGCTTGAAACCCATCCTAGTTAATGTGTCTAGAGTGGTAAAGAGGTTGTCTATGGATCTCAAATTTCTCATGATGGGGAGCCTTCCTTCTCTTCTCCTACTCTTCCGATGCCATTACCTCCACCTTCTAATCCCCCATTGCAGGTTTCTAAGTGATCCAGATCTTGGTCTACTGTTTCTTATAGTCCGGAGACGACATCTTCTCCACCAGAGGTTCTTGTTCCTCCATCCTCCTCTTCTGCTACTGATGATTTATCAATTGCATTACACGTATTTGTACTGAACATCCCGTTGCTAATTTTGTGTTTTGTGATCGTGTTTCCTCCACCTTGCAGTCTTTTGCTTTTACCTTATCCTCTATCTCTATTCCCATATCTTATCAGCAGGCTTTGTCTATGTCAGATGGAAACACACCATGGATGAAGAAAAAGTGCCTGTTACAAGAATCAGACCTGGGAGCTTATTGCTCTCCTTCCAAGAAACGAATTGTCAGTAATTATTGGGTTTACACTGTTAGTATTATTGGGTTTACACTGTTAGTATCTTCCTTCTGGCATACTAGGGTAGACGGATGCCCTACAAATCAGTCAGTTGTTGACTATTGAAGTCAAGATCCATGAAGAAGACAAAGCGCCTTACTTCTATTGGTTACATTGTCCAAATCATATGATAGCTTGGTGAAAACCTTGCTCTTCGACAAGGACACCTTGGAATTGACAAAAGTTACAACAACTATTCTAGTGTACAAGAAAAGGAAGAAATGCATTCGGGAACAGTCGAAGGCAAAAGGATTGTTGGCAAAGAATTAACAGATTCATGGAAGAGTTAAGGGCCAAAAGGGAAGTCTAAGCTATAAGGGAAAAGAGGATTCATGTTTACATGCATTTATTCAATTAGGGTTTCTTAAATTTCATGATTTAATGCATAAAAATTCATTTTCAAGTACCTTACATGGTTTTGGAAATTATCAAAGTAAAAATCCTAATGCTATAGATCCATTGAAGACACTAGCCATGTATCAAGCAACTGTCACTTGGCTCTATCAATCTAGACCTTTGAAATTCAGTTTCTAAATAAAATTAGATCTCTTTTTAATCTAATCTATATAGAATTCTAAGTATTATATAAAGACCATAAATATTCAAAAAACCTAAGTTAGCAATATTTTAACTGTCTCTAAACATATAGAGAGCATATAGGGCTTCCTTGAGTGCAATCTAGCAATTATCTACTAGATTTTCTTTCATACTTTGTCATTGCATTAGATGGTGAGAATATGTCTTGAGGCCTTGATCATCTAATTAATTTGTGTTTTCGAATTAACCAACACCAAAGTTCAACCACATATTGAAAATAAAGCCTTGACGACTGGCTATGGAGATCAATGTCTTGAAGAAGTGGATTGTGTGAGAAGGGAATCTGTTGACGTAGCAACAACCTGAAGAATCTAGTGGAGAGTTTGGTATAATTATGTGGAGAGTTTGAGTTAAATTTTCTCTCCTCATTTCACGACTTTATCTTTAGACTTTTATTTATTCTAAAGTTCTAGGATATACAAATAGTATTAACTTAAGAGTTCTGACAACATAATTAATACAAAGTTAGTAATAATATAATATATCACAGTAATTTGTAAGATTTCTAATCATGTGCATTGCATGTAATGTTTACTAGCACATATAAAAGCATGTAATTAGCAGCAATCCATTAATTTTACAGAAGATAAAAATGCACGTACCTGAAGCAAATCCATTTAGGATCATTGCCACTTTCTGTCAGTGAGAAAAGAATCATGTATATGCACTAGGTTTAGGTTCAACTTGTACAACCCACGTTAATTTTTCAGGTAATCCATTGGATCCGTTCCGGACAAAATTGGATCTAAAAGTGACCGTTGGACTAAGGCTCGAGAGAAATCTAGCCAGTCAAATGGGTTGCATTTTCAACAAATGGAGCTGGTTTTCTGCAGAGAGAAGACCCCTGAGGTACTCTTTCAGCCATGTCTTGCAACTGTAAAATAATCAAACAACCTAGTGAATGTCGTGTGAAGGTGTAGTAGTTATAATTAACCCTATGATACAATGAAATACTTGGAAAAAGAATTATAAAAAACACATTCCCTGCTTTTTCCTTTCAATCTTCAAGCAGCCATCACGTGAATTCCTTTTAAGCTTGTATAAACCTAATCAACACTCGGTAAAGAATCATTACCATGCATTTTCATATGAATCCACAAGGAACTCTCCAGATTCTCAGTTTTGGTCTAATGAACTGAATTCTGCAGGTTTACTACATGGCAGTGTCTAACAAGGGAAAAACTGCGAGGCATGGGACAACATGCTGCTACAATTTCTTTTGGCCATTATAAAATATAACATGAGATGCAAGTGTAAGTAGTGAATCCATTTACAGGAAGATGCACAGAATGTGTAACTCAGAGAAGGGCACTTGAGCTAACAGAGGTTGTGAGGTGCTAACAAATCAGTTCAGGCTAATCCCACACCAGGGATACTGTATGATACGCAACAAATAATGGTAGACATACATTTGTTACAGTTTAGCAAACACGTTAAGTTCAAAATTACTTCTAAACTATAATACTTAACATATATTGTAAATGGGAGCATAAATACTCCATGCTTTTGCATGAAATTTCAGCTAACAACATTCAGTAAAGGAAAGGCTGCCCCTCATCCTGACTTCCAGTCCAGGTAAGCATTAAGAAGGAGGCCCAACTGCAACAAGTACATCCGGCCTTGTGCAAGTTAAGTATCTGAAGCTTCCAACAAGACTTTTAAATAATGTTGGATCTACTGTCTCTTCATCTAAATTAATTCCCAATTGTATCACTTTTACCTAAATTAATCCCCCCCCCCCGAGCCCGTACTTCTTTCCCTAATCCCATTAAATGTAGATTATAATGCTGTCTTTGCAAGGACACTCATGTTTGCTCAGCAACAAGGAGAATTTATATTGGCCATGGACCACTACAGCACACACATGATTTACACGTCATTTTAGCACCCTGGGTTCCAGTTACTTTTGTTTCAAGTGAAATACCACCTCTTGTGTATACATCATTGCTATATAAAGAACAATTCACTCAAACGGCAGCATGACAACACTTTGCGTGACCATTTGTTATGTATGTTTTCACCAAGGGGCCAACGAATTTTCAAGCTAGCTTAAGAAGGAAGCAATTCTTCCTCTCCTTTACAGAGTTCAAGAGAAAGTTAACATGCATCTCATTTTAATCTTCTTTTGTATCTCTCAGTTTAAAACCAAAAGGAAGCAATTCTTCCTCTCCTTTACAGAGTTCAAGAGAAAGATAACATGCATCTCATTTTAATCTTCTTTTGTATCTCTCAGTTTAAAACCAAAAGGAAGCAATTCTTCCTCTCCTTTACAGAGTTCAAGAGAAAGATAACATGCATCTCATTTTAATCTTCTTTTGTATCTCTCAGTTTAAAACCATCTTATGATCCTTTACTATGATCCATATCGATGACTATGCTTAACTTTTGCCACCATTTTGAGGGGATAATCTATTGTGTCAAAACAAAACAAAACAAAAATCAAAGAAATTCAAGTTTCAAGAACGTGCTGCCACAATAAAATTCCAAACCACAGAAAACAATATGACCACAAGATATGAGCTGAAGTTTGAAGAATACTGTTACAATAAAGTTCCAGACCACAGAGTGAAATATTCATTCTTTTGACAGATGTTTATCTAGTGGGACATAAAATTTTTTGAAGTTAGCATAGTGACCAATCATGTCATACAAATTTTATATGATATATTTCTACTTATATCACTGGAATAATAAGCATCGACATTTTAAAACACGGGGAGCATTAATTTTCAGGAGGAAAAGAAGTTATCTTCTAACTATTTTGCAGACAGTCACCAATGAGATATTTGTACTTACAAACCAGCCCAATGAAATGAATAGTAGCTGTTTGTGCTAGATATCTTGTTCCAGATCAGTTGTTATTAATCTTTTGTAACTGATTACAGGGATGATGCAAATTATATGTTTACCCCTTATATAATCCATTAATCTTGGTAATAGCTATTTTTTTGCAGGAGCAATAGTGGGAACAAGACTTGTCAAATAGTCAGCAAGGCACAAAGCCAGGATTCTTTCAAACCTATTGCCCCTCCTCCTGGCCCTAAATTAAATATATGTGGTTCCACCTATAGGAATACATTATTGTGCATACAGATATTACTTACAGTATGCACATATATACACCCATGTTTCAAGAACGCCTATGTAACAGCACATCTGATTCAACATGTATGAACTTGTTAATACATGAAGAATGAAAGAGGATCATATACTGAGACCTAAGACTTTGAACAATCAATTTTGACACTCTATTTTTCCTAGTCCCATAGGTTAAACTTATTTTAGCAGTTTCCTTACAAGTTGATATGATTTCAAAACGAGGTCGTACCAAAGAAAACTTCCATATGATAGATCATGTGTCGGTACTTGCTGATGAAAATAAAGGTCACACAATGATAAACGTTTTGAACTATACAGTTTTCTCACCTGCCAGCTTAGAGATTCAATTACTTCCTTTGCAGCTTTGTTTTTCTCTACTTCCCTCCTGGCTAAATCTGTTGCCTCTTTAAGCTGCCTTCTTGTTCTTTCAATTTCTGCTTCTAGGAGTTGAGATTTACGAGTAAGATCCTCTACCTACATGCAAAAGTTTCAGGTTATATTTCTTGCAAATATAGATTCTTGTTTCATTCCAATCGAATAGAATGAAATATTTATCATAAACTGTGAGATAAGATCCAGTGAGAATTTTTTATAAAATTTGCTCAATTATGTAGCTGGCTGTTTCAGTAGTCCACGCGTACTGGTGCAACCTATGTTTGTGCATTAGACAATAGCCTGAGAAAAACATAGGTTTATTATTACATTGGCCAGTATTCCGCCCAACTCAGTGCATACAAAAAATAACTAATGATCCTTAACATCTACTTTGTACATTTCATTAGGACTTTATTTGCAGGTATCAGATCTATAGAGTTGGTATACATTTGATTGAGTAAAATGAGGGAGTCTTCGGGATAAAATACATTAGTAGCAGACTCAACATGCAGCTATGCTTTCTAGATAGGGGTAACTATCAAATTTTCAATATGCCTTAAGGATTTCACTATATTTGCTACAGTGTGTTGCTTTGCAATAGATTTCTAACAATGTCATGGAAATGAATTATTAGACAATCTTTTAAATCTGAATTTTGGAGATGTTTTCATTAGGGTCATGACAATCATGTTGTTATGTTAGATAGGCTGCTTCTATATCTTCCAAAGTTTACAAGATACCCTGAAAATCATTTGAACATTTCAGTCATCCTTAGTGAGGATAAACCACCAGTCCAAGATAGAAACAATCATCACGAAGAAAAGGCAATAATCACCAAAGCTGATTATCAAATAACCATGAAAGCAAGTTGTATCTTGTCACTACATTGTCAGGCATCCTACACGTGAAAGGTGCATTAGATACCCAACAATCAAAGGAGAGGCACGTGAGAACATTGCCTAACTTGGAAGCATAGTAATAAAATTTTGGTCTTCAATTGAATCAGATTGAAAGATATGCTTACATAAGTAGAAATTTAAAAACTGATTGATAGCTTTTTTCAGTAATTAAATTGTTTGATATTTAGGAATTGAGCATTGAGCTTTATGCATCTCATCCGGCACAATTGAAGGCAAACAACCAATCTGGGCTCAAACAGAAGAGATGTCAAAATTGAAGAGAGAACTATAAAATGAAGAACACAAGGATATACGTGGTTCAGCCACTAGGGCTTACATCCACGGCACACAAAGCCCAAAGGGTTACATATATTTACTATGCTCTCTTGATTTTTGTACACAATGATCACCTCTATTTATAGGTGAAATGAGAAAGACTTATAGCTAGAGAATATAAAATACTTGCTCTACAAGTATTCTTGCTTTACAAATATTTTATAATACATAAATTACACAGAAAGTCAAATACAAATATGGCAACAATTCTCATAGCAATATTCTGTCAAGGAGTAATTTAAGTAAAGGTTCCTATAGTAATATTCTCCAACAAGAGAATTAGAGAGAGAAGAACATATCTCTGAGGCTATGAAAGACACTATATTAAAGGCATTCATGAACATGCAATGAAAGCACAAACTTGGCTGCTTCTGCCATTGTGATAAACTTACCTGTGCCCTTAATATTGATATTTCACTGGTGACACTGTCATCTGGGTTGGTTGAATCATTAAGAATCACTTCATTACATGCAAGCTCAGCGAAAGCCACTTTATGTGAGATCAAACAAGGAGGACTTGACTTTGTAGAGATAGGACATGCTGCTCTGGAATCTGGATCTGATCCAGGAACAAGTGTAGATATTCTTTGTGAATTTTCAATTGTAGAAGTTATTGATGTATAAGAGCTTCTCCTTTGAAGACTTCCATTTTGCAAGAGAGAAATATGACTGCTGTTGGAGTCCAATGTCTTGTTCTGCTTGGAAAATTGGGTGTCAGGCCGTCTGAATGAATCAAATGAAGAGAGCCTAGATAATAGGCTGTGTGATTTATGATCCAGGGTCTCTCTCTCTTTTACCTCACCAGCACTGCAATTCTTATTTCCATGTGGGACTTCAGGAAGTCTATAGGTCAATCCGGATTCCGTGGCCTTCTTTAGTTTGTTAAAGCAAGCATCACACACACGATAAGGTTTGTTCATATTTGGTGCCAAAGAGGCTTTCAGAGATTTCCTACTGCTACATGTTTTGCAAAAAACTAGCCCACAGTTGTAGCAGTTATGGCGCTTTCTTCTGAAACTAAATGGATTTTGGCAACCAGAACATACAAAATTATCAGCATCACACACCCTTTTGTGAAGACAAATGGCAGCGGTAAAATTGGTTCCACATGCCACACTCTTTACTCTTTTGTCTTTCAGAGCTTGGACGAGTGTGGGAGTGTTTCTGTCATCATTGTCTCCATGACCTAATTGACCATTTTCTCCCTTTCCCCAAGTGTAAACCTCATATCTTGAACTCAAAGCTGCAACATGATGAGAACCACACGCTATCTCTTCAATGAAATTCTTTCTGATCTTACCTTCAATGCACTTGGGAAGCTTACCGGCACTTCCAGGAACCCCAAGTTGTCCATAATCAGCACTCCCCATTGTATATACTCGACCTGAAGTTGTAAGAGCAACTGTAATGTAATGGCCACAGGCTACTTGACAGAAATTCGTGTCATCCAACACTGCTACACAGGATGGAACAAGTCTAGGCTCTTTATCGCCATGTCCAAGCTGGCCTTTTCCACCGTCCCCCCAGGTGAAGAGCTTTCCAATTGAAGGGTTACCAGAACTTGAAGGTGCAGTAGTAAGCTCCACAATTGCAGCAGTGTGCCAAACACCACAAGATACTCTCACAGTCCGTCGTCCTTTCAAAGTTTCAACTTCTCTGGGCATGGTTGTGCCACTACGATCTCCATGGCCTAGGACACCAAAAGTTCCATCACCAAACGTGAACAACTGACCCACTGATGTAACAGCGGCTGTATGCCAAGGTCCACAAGAGATGGATGAAACATGCAAGCCCTTTATCTGACGACTTACATTTTTAGGGGTCCAACAATTGACTTCACTCCCATGTCCAAGAAGACCACCCCATGTATAAAGATCCCCAGATCGCGTTACAGCACAAGTATGAAAATCTCCACATTCTACTGATTCAATGTTCAATCCACTGAGAGCTTTGATAAGCTTTGGGTTTGAAACATCAGCAGCTACTCCATGCCCAAGCCTGCCATCTGACTCCTCTCCCCAGCTATAGATCTCCCCCTGTTTGGTAACTAACACAGCATGCTTACTGCCACAAGCAATATTTTGAGCATCAAGCACAATAATTGATTCCAGAGCCTTTGGTGAAAGTGCATCTATTCTGTCAGCAGATGATTTTCCAACTCTATTCACACCACCACCCAAATACCCGTCACCAGTTCCTTCTCCCCAAATAAAAATATCCCCTAGAGCATCAAAATCTTCAAGAGAAGATCCCTGGCTGGATGAACTTACAGCACTGGAGAAACTGGCTCGAAAAGTGTCTGCAGAGCTACGACCATTTATTTCATCTACACCCCCGGATGATAGTGAGAAGAGAGGATTGGCAATAAAATCTGTCTGAGGGAAACACAGCATTGCTGCATTAGATGATATAACATCAGAGAATGCTCTCCCCAATCTTTTCTGTGGAAGATTCTCAAAAGGAACTGGAATTGTTTGAATACTCCCTGGATCCTGTAATAAGGGTAGCAAGTAAAGGGACAATCATTAAACTAAATGAAGTATCGCATTATTTTGAGTTTCAAGAAAACCTTATGATTTATCTCGCTGCTGCTATTTGAAACAATTGATGAAGAGTTTCTCTGTGTAAAGGCACTTGAACTATCTAATGATACACTATCACTTGCTTCATTTCTCCATCTTTGACAGTTACCTCGTGAAATTAATGCCCTGAGGGCAACAAACCAGATTTCAGCTTCCTCCTTGTCTTTGCATATCTGTCCACAGTGTCCCAGTCATTAGTGGCTGCTAGACCATGTTAATATCAGATTATTCTTCAAGAGTAATCTGATGTTCAATAAAACACAACAGCTCTTGATTCATGTGTGTGTTTGTGTATCCACAGGAGAAAAGAAGTTCAACTGTTCGTGATTCAAAGGATAAGTCAATGCTTAATGATTCTCCCATACTATTCGAATATTGTGAACATTTACCTAAAAATTAGTTCAATAGAATAAAATGTATAATTTATTAATTCTCAATCCGACACTTAAGTAGAATCAACTATTAAATTTATATCTAAGTGGGATACATTATAATATACGGACTTGCTTTACTAGCAACTATTACATGACTAGCATGATTATCTCCATAAGTACCAAGGCCAATTCAAACCCAGGTACTAACTTTACCCACCAGTTGACATAAATAACAACATAGAATAAGAAAGAACCAGGTTCTTAATGTTCTCTTAAGCTCATTTATCAAAGCTTAGTTATTACTAGAGTAAGCAATGTCATCTACATAAACCAGAAGAAAGACAATACCCGATGTCAACCTCCTTATAAACATTGAATGATCCATTATAGGAGCAAGAATAATCTTTGATTTGTTTTTGGAAAAAAGGAACTGGGTTTCTTTGGAGTAATAAGATTATTCCAATTACGATTACGGTACTCAGGTGCTATGCTTATTTCTATTTTGCTTTTCTTTCTGAGTCAGGTCCTACTATTTTGGAGATTCTTAAGCAATTGATGTCTGCTGTCACTCAGAAGATTGAAGATATCAGGCCTTCTCATATGTGCCAAAAAAATGAAGCTTCTCCTCCAACCAGATTGTGGGATATGATGTCTTAATGTTCAAATTGTAAATTGCAGAATGAATGAGCAAACCTGATTTTTAAGCTTAAAATACGATTCTTAAAATGAATTTGAAACAAGTCCCAAGATTTCATTCATAAAATTGTAATGTTTGGACAAATAATTAGCATATCGTGATATGCATAATTGCATATTCAACTCAAGTCAACAAATCATTTTCCCAACAATTTTGAGTCAGCACTATATCCCTCTATATAGGGACATGGTTTTGGTTAAAATCATATTCCAAGTCCCGTCCCTAATTATTCTTCCCATGTCACCCTTCCTTGAAACACCCTCATTTTGAATGGTGTAATTCATCCTCACTTCATGCAATTATCGGTTCTCGTTACACAATGAAAACCTTTTAGTTGAATTTCTCCCATCCTCGTCCCTAAGTAGTGCTACTGCTACCTGTAAATTCTCAGGAACGTTTGCATTTTTTAATTTTATGCTTTCTTGTATTGTCATGTATCCATTTCAGCTATTCTAATTTTATAAGCATGATATTCTTAACAATTCAACAGAATTTACATAGAGCACGGTTTGACTTATGTAGTATCTTATATATCTTCTTCTCAATTTAAAAAACTCAACAAATTTTACAACCCTCCAAATACTTTATTCCACCCTAAATCTATACATTTATATATAATAAATGGTGAATCCTAGAAAATAAAATGATAACTCCTTATATCTCTAACTAATCAATATTTGATAGGACACAGTATACACATTATGAAATCCAACTGGAAAAATTTTAATTGAAGCATAAACATTTGGAAAATGATTCACACAAAAAAAGAAAAAAGAAAAATTGATGCTTAAAAGTAAGACCAGATTGTTTCCCCCACCAAATCCAAGGACCTGTGGCCATATATTAGAGAAAATGATTGATATTCCTTCTCTGGTTGAGGGTACCGTTGAAATATTGCCTACAACACCAAAGAGACTAACATCAATGCTCATATCAAGTCTATGCATAAAATTATACTGACAAACATTTAGCATCATTTTGCTAAGCTAATAAATACTTTTGAGAATCAAGAAAAGCATTTCCTATTCTTCTGTTGCTTAAACACTTTTAGCTGCAAAGCAAAGGTAAATAATCATTTTTAGTAAAATTCACATAAACAAAATATTTTAGGTTATGGTAAGCAAAGTGAGAACAATGGTGGAAGTGACATTTGTGTCCAATATCAGAGTCAAGGTGGCAGCACAAGTGGTGGCAACGGTAATGGAGGAGAAATTGTGGCAGAAGATGAGAAGGTGGTTGTGGAAGTCAAAGCAGTGTTTGATGGTGATCATAATATTATAAACAGTGATAGTTTTGTGCATATGACAATGGAAGTGTTGTAGGCGAGATGATAAATATCATGATGTGGAGTTTTTTAAAGCAGCAACAGTAACAATAGTATTGGCAATAGTAGCAGTTGCACTGGAATGACAATTAGTGATGTGAGGGTGGTGGTGCAACAATGGTGGCAATGTAATGGAGGAGGAGATGGTGGAGGGTATTATGAATCAGTCCCCTTTGTATCAGCTCAGATGCCACTTGTTAGGAATTAAAACACCCAAGATCACACGAAACAAATATACAATAGAAACAAATGAAAATTATGAGGGAAATCACACACAATTTTATTCTAGAAAAGAGAAGATTACAACTCTCAACGGATTACTAAAAGGTATTCCACACTATCACTAGAAGAAGAAACACACTCTTCTAAAAGGAATACAATCACTCTTGGCCCTCACTAACTTATCTCTCTCTCTCTCTCTCTCTCTCTCTCACTCACTTTTCTTCACTCTATGTGCTTAACTCTTTTCTTCACACAACAAAGCATGCACCATACAAGCCTTTTTGCCGCTTTACCAACAGTACAATTCATCAAGACCACTAGTAGGTGCCTGCTAGTGCGTGTCATGCCGTAAGCGCCCTATGGGGGCAGCAAGCCTTAGGCTCCCCCTGGTTGGTGCCCTTTGTGGGGCGCCAGGTTTTAGGTGCCCACTAGTGGGTGCCATTGTGGAAAAATACCTCCTTGATTAGTGGTAGGTTAGCACTAGAATTGTGTAAATACTTGTTTCCTAGAGTTTAGGGATTTGTGTAAATATTTGTTTCCTATAGTTTAGGGATTTGATTGATAGAGAATCAGGGATTCCTGATTATAGGGATTTCAAAATTAAGTTAGTTGCTGATTTTTCTCTTTGTAATTTCTGGTATATAGCCCAACAGAGGCTCTTGTAAAATTAATTAACAGATTCAATATAATTGAATTCATTTCTCCACATGGTATCAGAGCTTTAAGGCTTGGATTTCCTGAAGGAAAAAAAATTCAGCGTTTTTATTTATTTTTATTTTTTCTGTTCAGGCCTTCATAGCCAATTTTCTTTGTGACTTGCCTTCATCGCAGTCATTCTCTAGCAATTTCTTTTGCCAATTTTCGCATAACCCTTCTGTCCGGCCTTCATAGCCGATTGTTGAAGAATGTTAGAAACTATTGTTCAACCATCCCAATCACCCAAGGAAGAGCAGGTTCAGCGCCCCACAAGTGAACTGCAGAATATTCAACCGGGGTACCGACTTAATGGAAGGAACTACTTGAAATGGTCTCAATTGGTTCGAACTTTTCTAAAAGGAAAAGGGATACTAAGTCACTTGCTGGGAACGGGACCAAAGAAAGGTGATGCAGGTTTCGAAGCGTGGGAAGGAGGACTCAATGGTCATGTCCTGGTTGTGGAATTCCATGACACCTGAAATTAGCGATACATGCATGTTCCTACCAACTGCGAAGGCCATCTAGGATGCTCTCAACCAGACTTACTCCAAGGTTCGTGATGCGGCGCAAGTATACGAGATCAAGACAAAGACAATGTCTACAAAACAAGGGAACAAGTCCATGACTGAGTATGCCAATTTTCTGCAAAACCAGTGGCAAGAACTAGATTACTACCGGGTGATTGATTTGAAGTGCAGCGAATGCGCTGTAATTATCAAAAATTTCATTGAAAAAGATCGAGTTTATGATTTTCTCGCTGGCCTAAACTCTGAATTTGATCAAGTCAGAATTCAAATTTTGGGCAAAGAGGAGGTACCATCTCTTAATGAGGTGATTTCATTGATTCGGGCTGAAGAGAGTAGGAGAGGAATCATGCTTGAACCTCAGTCGATTGACAGCTCAGCACTCGTAGTCTCTGGTGACAACAAGCGGGGTTTCACTCTAGAACAACCGCAAAAAGCTGAACATGGAAAGGCGGAATTATCAAAGGGGGCAAACCGAGATAATCTTTGGTGCACATACTGTAAAAAGTTGCGACATACCAGGGATCGTTGCTGGAAATTACACGGGAAACCACCCACATCTAGCCGAGAATGGGGAAACAAAGGAGGACAGCAACAACGACAACAAGGACAAGCCTATATGACCTCACAGGTGGGTCAGGACCAGGCAAAAGAATATGGAGGATTCGACGGTGAAGAAATAGAGAAGTTAAGAAATCTACTGGGAACCCTTGAGAAACCATCTTCTGGTGCTTATTCTTTAGCCCTCTCAAGTGAGTCTTTATTCTCCCTTGGATTAAATGTTTCTGATAAATTGTTTGTGGATTCATAAATCATAGACTCGGGAGCCACAGACCACATGACACATGCCTCAAACCAGTTCAGCACTTATACCCCATGTCCTAGCAATAGGAAAATCACTGTTGCTGATGGAACCACAACCACGGTTGCTGGTGTAGGAGATATCCATATCACCCCTAGTCTTGTTCTTAAAAATGTTTTACATGTTCCTAAATTGTCCGCTAACCTTGTGTCCATTCAAAAGCTTACTAGAGACTTACATTGTCATGTTACGTTTTATCCCTCTTACTGTGAATTTCAGGGCCAGGATTCGGGGAGGAGGATTGGACGTGCTAAGGAAAAGGAAGCACTCTACTACCTTGAGACACCGAGCCTTCCGAGTATGATCAGGACAAATTTATCCTCTTTGTTTCTCTCTTCTTCCAATAAAGATGTTATATGGTTGCATCATTTTCGTCTCGGACATCTTTCTTTTGCAATTCTAAAAATCATGTTTCCTTCTTTGTTTAAGGGATTAAATATTGGGACATTTCATTGTGATATTTGTGAGTATGCAAAACACACTCGTGTAGCTTTTCCCATTAGCAATAAAAGAAGTTCCTCCCCTTTCTATTTAATTCACAATGATATATGGGGACCCTCCACAGTCCCAAATGTTTCTGGTTCACGGTGGTTTGTGTCCTTTATCGATGATTGCACTAGAGTCTCTTGGATATTTTTACTCAAAAACAAATCAGATGTGAGTAATATCTTTCTAAATTTCCATACAATGATCCACAATCAGTTTGGTACCAAAATAAAGAGGTTTAGGTCTGATAATGCGAGGGATTACTTCAATCAAGTCTTGTCACCCTTCTTTCAAAAGGAAGGAATTATTCATGAGTCATCTTGCATTAATACTCCACAACAAAACGGAGTAGCTGAAAGGAAAAACGGTTATCTCCTAAACACTACTAGAGCACTCTTGTTTCATCAAAATGTACCAAAACACTATTGGGGGGAAGCAGTACTTACATCTGCCTACATCATAAACAGACTTCCTTCACGGGTTTTAGGGTCAAGAAGTCCAATAGAAGTCCTTTCTAAATTCTACCCCAACCTTAGTGCCACAAACAACCTTAACCCTAGGATATTTGGGTGCACTTCATTTGTTCATGTCCATCGTAACAACCGGGGCAAATTTGTGTTTGTAGGATACTCGTCCACACAAAAAGGTTACAAATGTTTTCATCCTCCTACCAGGAAACTTTATATCTTAGCTAATGTCACTTTTGCGGAAGGAAAACCGTATTTTATTGAACCTTATCTTCAGAGGGAGTCATCTATCATAGAAGACAAGGATTTTTTCCAGCTCGCTTTACCGTCACCATCTCTCTTACCTGTATCAAACACTCCATCCAACTCAGTACCTGAGTCTGAATTTCCTGTTTTGTCACCTATATCTCCTGTTGTGTCTCCTGTGAAGGACAATATGACTCTTGATCACATACGGTATGGGAAAGGGAAGGTGTACTCGAGGAAGCAAGGTCCAGCTCCTGATCCGATGCAGGCCCAAACCTCTAACCTGACTCCTGAGAATGAGGTAACAATATCTGAACCTACTCCACTTATAGAACACCAGCTCCCTGGACCTCAAATAACTGACTAGGATTTGCCCATAGCCGTGAGGAAAGGAACTCGAGAGTGTACCAAACGACCATTATACCCTTTATCTCATTATGTATCCTTAAAGAAATTCTCACCAGCCCATAGGAGTTTTCTCACGAGTCTAAATGAAATCTCTATTCCAAACACTTTATCTGAGGCATTATCCAATGAAGAATGGAGGAAAGCAATGAGAGTTGAGATGGACGCATTGGAAAAAAATGGGACGTGGGAGGTGGTTGATCTACGAAAAGAAAAGAAGGCAGTAAGGTGTAAGTGGGTTTTTACCTTGAAATATAAGGTTGATGGATCGTTAAAGCGCTACAAAGCAAGGCTAGTTGCCAAGGGGTACACTCAGACATATGGAGTTGATTACCAAGAGACCTTCGCTCCAGTTGCAAAAATGAACACTGTGAGGATCTTGTTGTCATTAGCAGCCAATTTTAATTGGGAATTACAGCAGTACGATGTGAAGAACGCCTTTCTACATGGTGACTTGGAAGAAGAAATCTATATGAGCATCCCGCCAGGATTTGGAGGAGTTGAAGGGAACAAGGTATGCAAGTTAAGGAAGGCCTTATACGATTTAAAACAATTGCCTCGTGCCTGGTTTGGGAGATTTACTAAGGTGATGTTAGCTACAAGATACAAGCAGAGTCAGGGAGATCACACTCTTTTCATCAAACACTCAGTTTCAGGGAAAGTCAC